GGCGAAATTGGGTAAAGCTTGTCATAGGCCTCTCTGTACTGACGAGCAAATTTCTCCAGCGCTCCGTAGGGAAAAAACTGTCCGTGAACATGTTCTTGGTGACTCTTTAAAATGAGAACATTGGAGAACAATTTGCCGCAGGTCCCACATTCCAGTTTGTCAGTGTTGTCGCTGTCTCCGCCTTTGCTCTTCTTCTGGACCTTTTGCCGGTTTTCATTATACTGAATGACCAGTTCAAACCCAAAATTTTCCAGTAACGCTTTGGCTGCATTTCCTCTGGCCCCCGAAGCGATGCGGGGTGGCAGAATCGAGGGTTCGGAGGATTTCTGCTGCTTTGTGTCTTTGCCTTCCTTGAGTCCCTCACCTTCACTCACGAATTCCTGCTTTGGTTTTTCTTGCTTGTCAGCAATATCTTCTGCCTCCTTATACGATGGCATATCCTTCGTGATTTGGCAGTCTGTGCCCCCGATGTTTGTTTGCTCTTGCTTCAATAATTTGCTAGCCTGCTGCTGCTGCTGCTGCTGTTGTTGCTGCTGCTGCTGCTGCTTTTGTGATTGCAGCTGGGGCTGCGTGGCTTGGTACTGCTGTGCTTGTTGCTGCAGGATTTGAAGTTGAGTCTGGCCAACGTGATGTTGGGTTTGAATCTGCTGCTTCAGGTCTTCAAGCAAGGATCCAGCCATCCCTGTCATGCCAGGCATACCAAAGGTGGCAGAGCCAGGTAGGCCCAGATCCGGCCCCAAGCTAAACTCAGTTCCAGGTATGTAGAATGGAAAGAGAAACTGAGGCTGCTGAAACTGCAGCAGTGCTTCTGGGGTCATAGGGAAATGGGGCAAAAAGGCGGGGTTTAGAAACTGAGGCTGAAAGAACGCGGCTTGCTGTTGTAGCTCCTGCTGCAGTTGCATCTGAATTTGTGCTGGTGACTGCGTTGGGTGATGTGTAGTAGGCTGAGCAGAGAGGATTTCGGGACTTTGCTTTTTGCTTAATTCTTTGGCATCTAAGTGGGTATCTTTGCTGCTCACTGCTGCTAAACTCAGGGAATCTAACATCCCCTGACTGGTACTATTCACATTTGCGGCAAGGCTGTGACCACTGGCCACATGACCACTGGGCTCCAGCTTGGCCGCCCTCGCCTTTGTCTGGTGGAGCACAGACCTCATGTGGATTTCCAACGTAGAGCTTTGGCTGTAGGCAACGTTACAGATGCTGCACTTGTAGGGTTTGTTATCTGCACTGCTGTTGGTTTCCGGAGGTACAGGACTGGAAGCTTCCTGCAAAACCTTTTTCAACTTATGCAGATGAGACACTGAATTATAATGGACCAAGAGAATGTTCTTCTGGGTGAACGACTCTTTGCACACTGTACATTTATAGGGACGAGATGGGTCAAGGAACTTTTCCATCGTAAAATTTGGCCCTTTTCGAAAAGGCAAGGTCCGCTTTGGTTCAGAGCCCATGTCATCTGGGATCGAGCTACTGTCGCTTCCGACAGGACTTGCTTTCCCTTCATGGTCTACCTCATAGTCCCGTTCCATTTCCTGCTCTAGGGCATGGTCCTCCTGGGCCATGGATTCACTCTCCGCCCACAGTTCACCGTTCACGGGCAAAGAAGCATATAGCTGTTGGAGTTCGGCTTCACTCAGCTCAGGGTGGCCAGCTTCCAAGTGTTTTTTTAAAGCCTGGAATGTACGGAAACTACGTTGGCAAAGATTACACATCGTTGCGGCCCGAATCGCATGATACTGGGAATGTATCTGAAGCTTCTGCATAGTCTTAAAAGCCAAGCTGCAATGGTTGCAGCGATACTTATAAACGTGACGATCAGAAACGGAGAGAGGCTGCCTTTTTGGCTGCTCACTTAGTTGATCTTGCAGCGTGTCCATGACCTTCACGTCCTTACTGCTAATTTTGTTCCACTCTGACACTTCGGTGGATTCTTTCCTTGGTTTCGGCTCCTCACTCTTAATCTCCATGTTAGCCTTTGAATCTTCGAGACCTGGAACGCTTTTGTCATCCATGGGACTTTCACCTGTGTAGAGGGGAAAGAGGCACAAACATGTCTCTGGGAGATCACACACACGCACACCCACACAATTGATATGTCAAGAGATAGGGTAAGGAGGAACCCATAACGATTTCCACCAAATGGATCCTTTAAAGAAATAGTTATTGAGCAACAACTACGTGCTAACCACTGTACTATGTCAAAAGATGAACAAGAAATAACCGTCTGCGTCAAGGCATCTCAGGATAAGGAAGAAAGCAAGCAAAAGGGATGACAACATGCTCTATCAGTGTAATATCAAAAGCTATAACCTCCACGTTCCTACAGAAAACAGTTTTGGCAATCTGAAATGTGGGTCTCCCAAGGGCAATCAGGGATACCTAGAATATGCTTTGGGAAATAGGGCTCTTGGAAATGGCATGATTTCCATCTTCCTGCCCCCCCGTACTTCCTCCTCCCACTTCTTCTTATCTTAATCAGAGTCACATTGAAGCATTGCTCCAAAGGCAGCTCCCTTACGTGCGATTTCTGCTGATGCTTCTCAGAGGCTGGCATACCTGAAAATTTACCGGATCCCTCAGCCGTGATAACTGCAGGGGTGTCCCTCTCTGATTTCTCAGAGGTGGCTGTTGGCAGTAGCATACTGTTTGGCATTATGACATCAGGGACAGGGACCTTTGAAGACCAAAGCAGCTCATGTTAGATGTAACCAGGAAATCATAAACTTCACCCCACCTCCATCGGGCAGGCATACATCCCACTTCCACTTTCCAAATGAAGCAGAGGTGGTGTGGCTCTTACAAGCTAATACGTTCTCTTCACATTTCAGACCAATGCTGTTGCAATGCTGTCTTCTTCCTTTTATGAAATACGGTTTCTGTTTTTTCCACGGATCTATTTTTGTCAGGAGAACCAGGGAAGTTTGGAACTAAAAATATCCCCATAAGTCATTTGGTTAACATTTTAGATACAAAATTAAGAACCACCCCCAGAATATATTTTTTGGATAAATTAGGCTTTGTAGCATATTTTATTTAAAAAAATCTAATCAAAAGAGATAAGAAAGGGGCCTTGACTATGATTTCTATTCACAGTCAAGAAAATAGCATAAACCGCAGAATAAATAAATTTAAATCTTCGAATGATTACAAATCCTTTCTACGGCGTGGGTCAAACATGCATCAACAGTGGGGAGCCTTACTGTCAGGAGCAACTTCTCCACACAGTCTGGAGAAACGCTGTGCAAGTGTGTCAGATGAAGCTGGAGGTGCATTTTGTTGCTGAGGACGTCCTGGCAGAGGGGACAGCAGATGACCGGCTGCACCGAGTGCTGTGATAGGACGTGCATCTGGATGCGACTTTGGTCCCTACTATTGTAGTTACAATAAGGACACTGATAGAACTGGAAAATATTAAATAAACATGGCCGCTGTTAGTGCATGTGTTTTGTTGACTTCGTAGCATTTGAGGTAATACCAAGGGTTAGTTATATGGCCAATCACGATGTTTACATACATTTCAACAGCATGGAACCATTTGGGGCTCTAAAACATTTAAAGATGCTAAAAGGGAAAAAATACTACCATAAAAGATTTACATGGTTAAGGGGGGAAACCCTATTTACCTGCTCGTGGCAGAATTTACTGTCTTCTCCAGGTTTGGATCTCTTGGTTGCAACATCCTCTTCTTTTGCCAGCAGGTGTGGCTGGGCCACCCCAGGCACACTGGCTCTTAGTTCCCTTTCTGGATTGAGTATCCCTGATGGGAGGAAGAATAGAGAACTCAATTTGAAAAAACGCCAACAATATCACAATCTGCAAAAAGGGCTACTTTTTTTCAAGTAATTGTGGCTTTGATGCCACTGTTTCACAAGTGCCTAACAGACAGGTTTGGATAATGGTATTCTCAAGAGGTAAGAAATGGGCCTTACCTGACTTCTTAAACAATCAAGAAAATAGAATAAACATTGCAGAATAAATAAATTTCAAACTAATGATTTTTTGTCCACTGAGTGGCCTTGTAAATCTATTTCAAAACATACCCATGACTCACATTTAGACACGTGACTTTGGAAGCTTCCCCAGTAATATCTGCTCAGAATGCCTACATCATATTAAAACAAATCTACTTCCATTCACAAATACCAACTTAGAAAACAATCCTCTTGAGGAATGTTTATTTCTCTCCTAAATTTCTGAGGCACTGCTAAGAATGCAAAAATCTAGGAGACTATTTGTAATTTGAAAATGAAAAACAGCAAATGAACAACAATTTTATGTGATGAATGTGGGCTCCTTAAAGTAGCCATACATTATACATCTGTGACTATAATTAGTGACAGCCTTTTAAGCTTTAGATGTTTCAGCAATTGGCTGTGCCCGTAAAATGATAGTCCAACCCTCAAGAAGTTCATTGTTTTATGAGGTTAACCCAACTATTCAGTGTTAAAGACGATTTAAAATTTTGCCTAGATGAGCTATGTAATACGCACGGGCCTCACACACATCAAAGAAAAGCGTGCGATTCTAATTTCCCAATCTAACAGAAAATTCTCCCCAGCATCAATTTGCCCGATAATATCCTCTGTGAGGCTGGATATTACAGCGACATTCAGTAGGCATGTCACATACATCTCACGACAAACACAAAACCTCATTTACCAGCCATTCCAATCTCATCATAGCACGGCATCATCTGACCTTTTTTCTGGTGTTTATTATGAGTATTTCTAATTTTAACTTTCAATTTTCACCATCTTCCAGTCAATTTGCAACTAAATTATTTCCAGGGTGAGGACACTATCACTGGACAACTGGGTGCAAATACATCTTGAAATGCAATGAAGCTAAGCCATTGATTGCTATCAGACCCTGCATAAATATATAGTCCAGGTGTAATCTGATTGTATGCTGAGCATGAAGATTTATCTTGATTTTTTTTTTAATCCACATACGATTCATATCAATGAACAAATTGAACCTTATTGAAAAATAACCCAGTTTTAATTTGAAAATAAGGTCAAGGATGTTTGGGAAACAGAAAAAATGAAGCAAAACAAAACATTTCCCCCCATTCTGAATAGAGATGCATGTTTCATATCATATAAATAATTTCAAATTTTTCAAATTTAGAAAATAATTTAAAATAAGAAAGAGTCTGAGAAGATAAAAATTTAAATATAACTGAAATCAGATTTTTTAAATGATAACTTTATTACCTTGGTAGATATAGAATTAATACTAACTTTTCAACAAACTTAATTAGTTTTTAGCTCTAGATTTATAGACACTAGATTTTATTTAAATTGATAAATCTGTCCTGTTGTATAGTATTTCCAGAAATTTGAAGAAAAAAAACCTAAACATCATATTCCCATGGGTAGTTTCTACTTTCCAACAGGGTTCTGTTACTAAAACTCCATTGGAGGTTGGTTCTGAAATAAATCGTATATTTAACGTTTTTATTATTATTGCCTTGAAATATCAGTATCTATATAAGTTAAATCTTTATTTATTTTTGGGGTGCTGACATGAGCATAATACCAGCAAATTAGATCCTCGGCTATTTTATGTAGTATATGGACCTAATGAGAAGACATTCAATAAAATAACATTTGACTGTCATAAGTGTGCCTCAGAGAAATTCTAATTTGTCATGGCTTGCGAACTACCTGTGGGATGAATTTATGTTTTGAATAAGCTGAAAATGTGTGTGGTGTTCATAAAAAGAATCAAATATTTGATAAGTGTTTATCAAAAAGATATGTTTATCTCATCCTTCATGCTGGCATCAACAATTACACTTTTCATTCTCAAAAGAGAATATACTTCGCAGTGTTGTTTACAAAGGGCTGAAGATGAACATTAAGAAAACAATAGGATGTGAAGTATCTGCGAATACAATTTCCGAGAGGAATTGGCAGACCAGGTTGGACAGGGAGCACAAGCAAAGCTCATTTCCTTGACTGCCGCTGACATCAGCGATGATTCCTCAATTGCTTTCAATGGTGAGACTGGCTTTCTTCTTTTCTCTTAGCATTCGTCAAAATGTTTCTTTAAAAGAATAGCACCATGTCGTATTTCCCTATAATTCTTTCGTGCACGTAGTAGAAAGGGACATGACCAAATAAGTTGATGAATTCCCTATGCTATCAAAAATTGCCACAGGAGTAAAAAAAAAAAAGGGGGGGGTTCCTTGGCTCATATTATGTATGTGATATCATATTACATGTATCATATATGTGTAATAGATATCAGAATCTGTCTGACATATCTGTCACATATAGCAACCCTATAAGGAAAAGTAGAACAGCTCCTTTGGCTTTCTGAGACTAAATATTTACGGAAGCAGACAACTTCATCATTTTGCCAGCGGAGCAGCTGGTGGGTTTGAACCATGGACCTTGTAGTTAGCCCAAAGCTGAGCCCACAGTGCCACCATGGTTCATAAGCATTTGTAGGGTGCATTTTATTCTAATATTGGTACTATAAAAGATATTTTTAATTGTTATTGACTTCCAGGTTGGTAACATTTTGCTAACCTCTTTATTGGTGCACACATTCGGTATAATCAATACCACATATCTTAAGACTATATTGTTCTTATTTTCATGCTTATTGATATTCAGCAAAAACAGAACTGGCTTTGAATTTAGTGACTTTCCATGAAGAAAGAAAGCAAAAGTTAAGTCTTAGAATCACTATCACATAACGTTGCAATAAATACTGTGTATCATATTCTGCCTAATATACATCTTCTTCAATATTTTTTAGTTAATTGGCTTAGTTAATTAGACCAGGTATTCAGTGTAAGTCTAAAGATTACTTTACCTCAGATTATAATGAGATTCTAAATAAAGGCTAGACCTCAGAAAAGCGCATCATTGCTAAGATGAGGATGTAGAGAACAGAGATAGAATAACTAGGACAAAACCAGATTCTTGTGAGGAAGGCGTGTGTCGGAGAGTTTGCACAGATGCTGGAAGTTACCAGTGAACTGTATTCGGGTCTGCTTTCCACGGCAGGAGGTGCTGTCCCAGGCTCCACAGTACTCCTGAGTCATTAAAGGAAATCAACTCTGGTGCTTTTCCTCCTGAATTATCATATCTAATAGATGGTTAATATTTTTAAAGGCTAATTAACCTTGGGAAGGTTTTGATTCAATTTTATGGTTACTCATAGTTATGTCTGAAACTTTATTAAAGATACCCCTGTTGCTATTCTAAGCACAGTTATTATACAGAATCTTAATTTCTTTTGCATTGCGCAGGACATCACAGCATTTTTGAAGAGCACTGTCATTTTAATGCATTAACTGAAAACCGAAGCCTAATTACAAATAAGTACCACAAAATAGATGAGTCAATGATTATCTGTCAGTGATAGGATTATTTAACTTGCATGAGATTGCTAATATAAAAATGACATAATTCATTTCAATTCAGATGCTGCCTACTTAATAATTCCCAATCCCTAAAATACAGAAGGCTGTAAAATGGTTTATACCCATAACAAGCGAGGAAAATCCAATAATACACATATACTCAAAGCCAAATTTGAAAATGCAATAAAACAAAATACTGAGTTATTATTTATGAATCAATGTAGTTGACAAAGTTTGAATAATATCAAACTTGAATATCACAGAAGCTGTTATTCAACTCCAAACAATTCTAAAATTATAATTACGGGTATGATATTCTTTCTAATGAGACTAGAATGAAAGGATAATTTTAATTGCAATAATGAAGGTTAATTTCCATCTTTCCTCATGTTTACTCCTTTATTAAAAAGCAGTCCCCTTAGCCATGGCAGAGACATATTACATTTTCAATGCAAATGTATTAATCTGGATAAACTCTATATTAATTCTTGTACTGCACAGAGCTATAATTTCGATTATAATTAATCTAAAGTGGCACTAGATTTAAATGACAATATAAATGAGGCATTAGGAGGCTTTTCTATTATGAATGAATATTCAACAAATATAACCTGCATATTGCCAAGTCTCATTTCAAAAGCTGGAGTCCTAGAGATTAATGCCAGCAACACAAACAACAGCTTACACAAACATAGTCTTCCTAACATGCGTCAATGCCTTCCTGTCAAAAAACTCCGTGTTAAAGTGGGGTCACACTGTTTCCTCATCTAACTTATGAAGATAGCAATTAGCTTATTTTTAAGTGTTTTTCCTTGTTTATTTCCATAACAACCATATCCATAAACCAGTTTTTTTTAAACATATTTATAATTGAAGAAAAAATAGATACCCTATACATAAGCAGCTATTGAGTGTAAGAAATATTTCCTAAGGAAGAAATTCAATTTAGAAAGAGGAACCTCTGTTTGAAAAGTTTATTATTGTTAATTACAAGTCTTCTTCAATGCCAGTAGGTGGCCAGGATAATAAGTATTTGCAAATCGGTAATTGCTTTTAGATGGCCCTGGTTTAAAGTCCATGTCTACTCTTACTCGTGTGCATGTGTCTAGAGAGGGGTTTCTATGGGGTTAAAATGTTATTTTAACCGACTATAATGGTCTCCATGCTTTCATAGTGACCCAGGGGCTGGAACAATGGGCAGGAACATGACAACGGCTGCAAGGAGGGCTCAGGTCAGGCAGGGTAAAGTTCTGTGATGCATGGATCACCATGAAACCGACTGGACAGCACCTGACGATGACAATGACAACACCCTCTCACATACCCGAGTCCTGTTTGGACAGGAACATTGGGTGCACAAGGAAAAACAATGTATGAGGCCATTATGGAGTGATGGTGCAGGGCAATAAATGGTGCTGGCCGTGATAACGGTCCAAGCATCTTTCCTCAAAAGGAAGATTAGATTCATTTCCAAGGAGCGTTTAGATTCTATCCTCCATAAGGAACTACGCTATGGAAAAACAAAATTAAAACATAATGGAATTTTTTTTCATCAACTTTTCGAAGCCCCCTCCTAGGTTAGATATGTAATAGTAGCAAAACAGCATACAGCTAGGTGTCAAGGGCATTCTAGAAAGACTAAATTCTGTTCCACGTATTCTTCTCAAGTCAGAGAGGGAGACACTCTACCATTTCTCTTAGCACTACCGTGAGAAAGCCACCACGGAATGCACGCAGGTTCCCTTCCCTCCCAGAATTGGCCAAGCAGCTCCCCTTGATGAGCGACAGCCTAAAGAATGAATGGGCTGACCACCTGGCTATTTCCAATCCTTGTTTAGATGAGGTCTACATGGAATTACCTTGAAACTAACGGTTCACTGTGTACTTCAAATTCCTGTCATACTCCTCATGAGCAAGAAGTGCTGGTGGCTCAGTGAGTTCAGCAGTTGAGCTACTAACTGCAGGTTCAGCAGTACAAACCCTCCATCCGCTGAGCAGGACGATGAAGCTGTCTGCTCCTGAGTGGACTTACAGTCTTAGGCTCCCTGTGGTAGAATTCTTCTGTATCCCATAGGGCTGCCATGAGTAGGAATCAACTCAACAGCAGTGAGTAGCAAGTGATTTTTTTGTCCTCGAGAGCAAGCTTGCTGATGTACAACTGTGACATCTATTTATACAGCTTTAGACTCCGTGTCACCTGAGAGTCTCCTGATGTAAATCAACTTTGAATTATATATTAGCGAGTCTATCCCAGAAGTAAATTTCAATAGCCTTGTTTCCACTAGGCTCCTTAAAGAAATTTAGCCTGGCACATGCGATGTGGGGTTCAGAGACAGGAAGGCCCTTCAAATTACTTTTGAAGGAGATGCAAAAGGTGGGTATTGCAAAGACTGAACTACAAATATGAAATAACTCAGGTTTAGATATACTTGCATGTAGAAATTATATAGTTTTTGCACAACCAAATGTTTTAGTTGTGAATACATACTTCTTTGTATGCAGCTGTCACTGGGACTTAAGGAAAAGATAGATGACTACCTGAGACTAATAGGCTTGAACCTGTTTCAGCACTTCTTCTGCTTCAATGAGTCCAACGTAATATAACTAGGTATAGCGTGCAGCAAAAGTAGCCAATGTAATATTCATTGCGACCATAGATTTCCATCTCATACATACAAAGCATGGATGAAGTTATGTATTTGCCAAATCAAACACAGAAAAAGCCTTAGGTATCCACGCCAGATGCTGGCCGAGGGTTTGTTTGTGCACAAGTAAATGTCACGACACGCAAGTTTGTTTTCAAAGACAGTAGCTTTCATTACTGGGATTTGTCTGTTCCAGAGGATCAAAATTACCCAGCACCTAATCCCTTTTCAATGATATTTCCTCTCTCTTAGGCTGAATCATCTGTAAACTTTTTCACTGGATTTTGTTTGAAATGCCTCAAATAGATGCCCCGAAAAAGGGCACATTCCTGAGTGTAACTTGTAAAATGTCGGGGGATGGGGGAAATAATATTTGTGTTTAGGGTTATGTGGTTTGAGGGGGCTGATGCATATGATCGAATGACAAAATCCAAGTGATATCTAATCCCGAGCTTATGAAAAATTAATATGCCATCAGAGGACTCACAAGTATAGCTAAGATTAATGAAAGGCGCTTAAAAAATTACAAGCACACAAACTGATTTGATTAAAAAATAATCTTGTTGGTTGTCCTGTAATATTCTTCAACTTATCCACATCTATTCTGTCAGATGGTTATGATTAAAAATAGGTCAATGGGAGGCTACTGATAGAAATCACATGCAAAATGCACATGCAATGAATAGTAGGGGGGATGTTCAGACAGTTTAAAATGAAGAAAAGCTTTTAATAAGCTTTAGAAGTGGAGTGGGGGGAGGCCAAGGAAAGGCAGATTGTAGGAAATGGGAGTGAGGGTAGAAAAAGTGAATAATCCTCGCATCTTACCAGCGTCTTTATTAGGGTTTTTGCTTTCACTGTTGTCTCTCTCACTTGTGTCTTTCTCCTCATCTTCAGTCACTGCTGTAGGCTTAATAGCTCCTTCTGCTTCCTCACTTGGGTCTTCTGCTAAGAAAGGCAGATCCATCAGTAGGTTTGAAAACCCCAGAGAAATGCACACCAAAGTAGACTAGGTGACCGTTTGAGGGTTTCCTTGTTTACAAAGCATTGCAGATATTCCTACTCCAAAACCAGCACAAATCCATTCCGAAATCCATGTTGGGACTACACAGGCTTCTCAACACAAGGCTTCATATTTTATGTCAATGTACACACTATGTTGTGCACGAAATTAAAATGAAAAACATCATTTTCAGCGCAGTTTTAAAAACCTGTAAAAGGTTTGAGAGGGGGTGTAAGGTGATTCTGAAATTCCAAAAGTAGAACCTCGGACCACAAAGGTTCACTGTTTCAAGGCTTGGATAGGTGGCAGATAAAGCGGAATCCAGAGGGAACAAAGCTTTAGTGATGTGAGCACAACACATTCAATATAAGACAGGCGCTAGTTCTGTCTTCAGCCCCCCAGACTCCAGAGGAATTCATTTGCTTTTTCAATTGTTGGAGTAACATTTCTACAATTGAATTATGTTTGGGGTAATTTTTATCTGTAGGGGGAGCTATAGCAGTCATAGGGCATAACAAGGTATACTTCTCTGACAACAGCCTCACCCCACACCTCATTCACGGGCTCACACCAGCTAGATTACATGGAAATCCTTATAGTAACTCAACCCTATTTAATTATTCTGTAAATCTTAGCTGTGTCGCTGCTGGTGGATTAATCTGTTTATGCAGTTAGCCTCTATGCTGGGGCTGTGTAGCACTAATCCGTGAAAGACCCACTGTTCTCTTTCATCCTGCGATCATTTGTCTCTCACTGTGCTGATGTCACGTTTTAATGAACTTTTAGCAATCTGAGTAATGCCAGATAACCAGGCTCACAACTCCCCACAGCATGGCATGCTGTTTTCATTGCCGCACAAAAAATAAAATAGAAAAAATAAAAGCATATCCCCCTGTTCAGGTAGGAATTACATAAATTAGGAGAAGAAGGTAAATGGGATTTGAAGCACCAGGCTGCTCAATTTCATAAAATCTTTAATGACCATATAAATTAACCCTGGAAAGGCAAAAGGTCATCAGCACACATTTGCATACACTCTTCTATTTGCTTTTGATAAGCAGAGCTTTTATGCAGAGAACATGATACAATTAACCCTTCAATAACCGTACAAAATGCTGCCATGGACATTTTAAGTGTCGGGCATTAACTGAAAATTACACACTGCATAAAATTTTCATTGCAAATGCTATAGTGATTGAAAGGGGAAATCGTGGTCCTCTCCACACCCCATGTTTTATTAATAATGTTCTGACAGCAGAATGAAATATCCACTGTCATATGTAGCAGCTGAGCACCAAAAAAAACAACAAAAAACTCCTCTTGCCTCTCTTGCCAGACAGGCGTGCTCTGCAACTGCGTGAACAGGGAAATGACAGAGGGGACGAATGTGGACTCCATGGGAAACCCCACTCCAAGGAGCTAAGGGAAAGATGAGGATGTTTAATAAAGTTGAAATACGGGTTTGTGTAAAGCGCGAGGCCTCCAAAAGGCATCACACAAATGCATTTATTCCATTTGTCCTTTTGTCTCTCTGCACAAAAGCAGAGGTACTTAAGTGGCTGGTCATCAGGGGATAAGGAAGCTTCAAGTCCCAGCATATACGCATGGAAATTTTACTTAAAGAAGAGACGAATCAATATTACTTTCTGGCTTTAGCCTGCTTCCCAATCCCCATGCAGTGGCAGTTCCTGATTAAGCAATGACGCTTTCCTTCTGGTTAGAGAAAGGTGGCTGGGCTTGGTTGGGAGCTCCATGGTGGGCTCACTCCTGCACTGGGATGGGTTCCTGCAAGATTTGCCCCCAACGCCAAGTCTAATGTCAGGTCTTCAGACGGGGACAGCCTTTGACCAGGACTTTCTGACTCATCGTGCACCAGGGCTGCTAGGCTTCTGGAGCTAGATTTACTGGACTTTTCCCCCAGGGTTAGGAAATGAAGTGTCAGTGCTACTGAGTGCCCTTATCTTGAGGGGACATAAACTTGTAAGGGGCATCACAACTCACATTAATAAAACATTGTGTGTCAAGAGGAGAAACAGAACATCATGAAGGTACTAAAAGAAAAGCTACGGTCTAATCTGGGTCTCATCAGACAGTTGGTGCAGGGACCTCGTCTTCATTTCTGGTATGTGTTTTAAGTGTGAGAGAAATTCCCAGACATGTTCTTCTATACATCACTGCGGTGTCTGACCTCAACCTGACCCTGGCAACAGTTTGAGAAATCTGGATGTGAACAAAGACTCCGTGTCAGCAGCAGGGGAAGACTGTGGGATAGACTCTCCCCATCAACTTAATCGCAAACAGCAGGTCTGAAGCCAGCACTTTGCCCAGCTCCTCCAAACCACAACACAACCTTTAGAGGTGGATTTGCCTGCACTACCCTGCCTCTGTGACTCCTCGCCAACCCCCCTCCCCCCTGACCTTCTTTCATTCTTTTTTTTTCTTTCTGGTTCTTCCTTTGAAGTAGGCAGGCAATTAGTTCTAATGCCCAAGCAATTCAGACCTGTTTTGTGGTTTTGAAGGGGAAAGCTGTTTATTACAGGTAGGCTCTTTGGAGCCATAACAACTTTTCAAATTTTTAATCATGCAAAAAATAATCAAAAGGTCACTTATATACAACATAAAGTTTAATATAAGTCAGGGGGGAGGAGAGGTCCAGTTTTGCTCTCAAAGAGAGTTTTAGAATGAAATTGACATTTGTTTTATAAATAGACTTTATTATAGTCAAAAAGCCTGACTACGGGGAGAAACTACTTAGAAGACTTGTGGATTGGGTTTGGGGCAATGGTAGGAGGTGACTACCTTCTGCTAGTCACGTACCACATGTCATCCATTGTAAAATGCTATAAAATGTAGCATGCCTATAGGGGAAAAAAATAACCTGAAATGTAGCTATTGAGTATGAAAGAACATCGTAGAATTGAGGAAAATGAATTACATAACATTCTAAGTTATAGAAGCTCAAGCAGTTCTCATTTTAAAAAGACATGTATCTACTAATACATGTCATAATAATAAAATTTTATAGTAGTTCATACTGTTGTCTATTCACAGTATATGTTTCTTATTTATTTTATTTCATGCAGAATTAAAAACAATATTTGATTATATATTAAACTTCATGATGTGTCTATATATAAGCTTAAATGTGCACTTGGGTTCTTTAGCACTTCCCAGTTTTCAGAAAAATATGCATGAATCCTTAAATGTTTCAAAATGACAGAAACACAAAATAATACTAACCTGGCATTATAGAAGTTCAGTATCATTTCTTTTCCCCATAATTTAAAATATTCCTAAAATGTTCATCTCCATGAAAGAAAAGTTTTGAATAACAAGATTAGACTATTGTTTTTTGGAACAATTAAAAATGATTGGGAAAGCACTATTATTTAATTCTATGAAATTATAAAGTGCTATTTCTGTACAAATCAACTTCAGTGCTGACCCTCAGAACTAAGCACTGCTTCCATCACTTTGCTGTACAATTAGGCCTGGGGACTCTCTTTTCGGAGTCTTCTAAGAAAAGTATCAAGTACTTTTTAGGCATATGCAGTGACTAGGGAACGAGGCAGCCAAGGAGAGTAACTTAAACATCTGCAGGCTTATATGTAGGGAATCTATTGAGTGTAAGACATCTGGTTTATAGGAATTCTTTCCTGGACTCTTCCACAGTCTCCCTGACCCCAGGCCCTCCCTGATCAAATCTATCCCCCATATGGTTTACTTAAATCCGACTTCTTACTTCAGTGACGACCATCACTTATAAAGAAAAGGCTCGACGTGGTGAGCCTGGCAAAAGCACCGCCCCGATCTGCTCCACGTCTCCCTCTCTAGTCTCCCTCATATTGCTTCACTTCCTATTTGGCACTTCAAGCGCAATAAAAGTGGGTTTCAAACTTTAGGGATTCAGAATCACCTAGACGGGTTGTTGCAGTAAAGACTTTTGTGGCTCTCCCCTAGAAGCTCTGATTCACTAAATTTGGAAGGAAGCCTGAAACACAGCATTTCTACAAGTGTGCAAGTGACATGGGTGGAGTTGGGACAGAAATAACGTTTTGTGAATCATGGCTTAAGAGAAGCCCACCTATTCATAATTCCTCACAAATAGGTACTCCTTGTCTTGCTCTTGGATTCCGTTGCAAGTTTACACCCTGCCATCTACGGTATCTCTCTGAAAGATGCCTTTGAGTTCCCATTGCTGGGGTCTCCTTGATTAAAAAAAAAAGTCTGAATACTGAAGTGTATCTGATCTTAGTCCTAAGTCTAATCATCTATAGCTACACACTTTCCCTAGGTAATTTCATCGAGACACATGGCTCTAAATTTAATATTTCCACTCAAAGGTTTAAAAGCCATATACAACTCATTATATTCAAATCTGCTCCTCGCTCAACACACCTCATTCTATTTTTACCCCAGACTTCACCATCTCAATTAATGATACCACCAAACAGCAAGAGTCATCCTTAACCCTTCTCCTTCCCTCTCAAGCATCCAAGCCATCCCCAAATCCCAAGCCCACTACTCTCTAGTCTGTTCCGATTCATAGTGGCCTTATATCTGGTGGCCAGGTCTATAAATCTTTACTGGAGCAGAGTGGAGTGGCTGGGGCATTGGTACTGCTAACCCTTGTCATCAGCCATCCAGCACTTGCCTGACAGCACCACCAGGTCTTCAAGCCACCAGCAAGTCCTATTATTTCTCCCTTCAACATATTTAACTTATATAAAATCCATCGCCTTAACATTTCTACTGTCAGAACTCTTAATCTTTTACCAGAGGTACTGAAATGTTTTCCTAATGAGGTTAAAATTTGTTCTTGCTCTTCTACAATTTATTCTACACAACTAAATAAAATCAAGGCATTCTTCTGCTTGAATGCGGTAACCCACCAATTCCTAACTATGACGGAAATAACTAGGTTCTTACCTTCCTTCTGATGGTACCTTATGCAGAACTCCTCATTTACTATGTTTTCCTCCATATCACCCTTCGTTCTCTACCTGGAATATAAGTAACTCACTCCTACCTAGGTCTAGAAAAAGTGTCTCCATACTCTTTGTATGATGGACTTCTCATTATTTGGGGCTCAACTCAACTGGCAGTTCCTCAAAAAACAACAACAACAACAACAACCCAGAAATAAAACTGTGGTCACTGCTTCTCTCGTAGCTCTTCATTTGAGGTATGATTGTAGTGGAAATCGATTCCACATCATGGACTCATTGAAACACATATTTCTGGTCCCACCCTAGGGTTTCAGATTTACTAGGACCACAGAAGAGCTCAAAATATGTATTCTCCTATGTTTCCAGGGGTTGAAGATGCTGCTGATGCAGGGATTATACTTTGAGAGCCACTGCTGTGGTGGACAATGTTTTTGCTTCTTCTACCTCGTTTAGTGCAAACTGAAACTGCATGCAAATTGATTTGTTTAGTGGTATTATCTGAAATGAGGGGCTTCACCTCTTTTATTTGTAACATGGCAGTTCCTAAAACAGAGAAGACACTCACTAAAATGTAAGTAAAACTGATGATTCCTAGCTTTCTTCCTCAGGTGGTAAGGTCTAAAGAACAATGTCATCAATGAAGATTTAGAAAAGAGGAAGGGGAATGGCTTTGTGGAAAATAGAATTCCATTTCTGTTTATGGTATTTGGCTTCCCTTGAGGGTTTCTGTTGAAACCATCTGGAAAGCGTATGATAGCAATATCACAGCCTCAAGCTTCACAGAGAGATTGAGGTAAAGATGGAAATTTGGGGTCTTTATTTACAACACGATAACGAAAGGCACTGGCATGAAATAATCTTTTTTAGCTTAATGGTTTCGTAGTAAGTCTTGATTTTTGCCATTTTACTTCCAATTAGATCATTTGCAAAACATTTGGGCGAGTTTAACCTGAAGAAGGGAGATTGGGTTTATGCCATTTTATGTTCAATAACATTTTCCTTGGTCTTCTCAAGCTGCCCTTTGAAGTTTTCTGTCAGCTCCGTGAGCCCATCATTTCGTCCATTTACCTTAGCTACTCTACAATTAAGAGCAAGTCTCAGAGTCTCTTCTGACCTCTACTGGGATCTTTTCTTTCTTTTGCCTCCTTTTCATGACCTTTTGCTTTCTTCATGAATACTGTTCTTCATGTCCCACCCCAGCTCATCACGTGTTCTGTCATGAACGTGGATTATATGAGGAAGAATGCAGCATCAGGCTTGGCGGAAGGCGTATTAACAATCAGCAGTACGCAGATGACACAACCTTGCTTGCTGAAAGTGAGGAGGACTTGAAGCCCTTCCTGATGAACATTAAGAGTTGCAGCCTTCAGCATGAATTCCAATTCAACATAAAGAAGACCCAAGCGCATGCATGTTGATACGGCTATACGCAATCCATTCAGGTCCACAAATCACCAAAAGTAACACCACCGAGCAACTTGCTTGACTTGGGGGTAAACGAAGCATCTGGTTTATTAACTGTTCTTTTGTATAAACTGACTGAGTAAACTCTCATCGTGTATACATCTAGATAGATTGAAGAGAAGTATTATGTAGAAGTCAGTTGTTCTTTAAGGGGTTACTTTACATGTGTTTGAAATACTGCATATATTTTATTTTACTTCTTAATTATTTATACACAGAGTCTGATCAGAGCAGTTCAAGACTTGCTTTTTACATAATTTATGAGACCAACATAAAATTTAGGATGAGGTGAAATTTTGAGAAAGAATGGACCAATTACCTGAGCTTAATCTCAACTGCTGCTCGGTAACATCGTCTTCACAGGTCCTGGCTCCCAAGGAGGCAGTTTCTGCAGAGTGCATCAGAACACAGAGTCATCAGCACACTTCACCCGGCACTCTCCCAACAACCGGTTTCAACATCACCCGAAATGTGGCTCAAAACCGAGTAGCACTCCATTGAGTCTCTACCCACCTTACCTTCTAGTAAACAGTGGTTGACAAAGTGATTCCCATGAACAGCAGAGTCATATTTAATGCTGGTTGATCAACAGCACACACACACAAAATAGATTACACTATAGATAAAATATAGAACCAAAAGAGACAAATTCTGATTTTTATCTCTTGGCTATCTGGCTAAACATATGGGCAATAGGAACATAAAGGTTGGCAGAGAATGGGTGTGTTTTTCTAGGACAACTAGTAGAACAAACTCTAGATTATAAGATTATATATAATCATGACTGCGGCACTTTCTATAGATGATGAGCATAAGGACTCTCTACCATAAATTAACAAGGGGTTTTGAAGGGAGCCAACAAAAGGTTAAAACAAGAAGTAAAAGAAAAAACATAGATCCAGAAATGGGTTTGAGGCTCATACTAAATCCTAGCTCCAATATAAGAACAATTCATTCTTACACTACGCTCCAGTTCAATACTCCCCCTCAGGAAGGGACCCCAGATAGGGGCGCTATAGCAAAGGGTGCTGAAGAAATTAGATGGTGTCCAGCTATCAGATAAATAGAATCTGGGCTCTTAAAGGTTTGTTTCCAAACAAACAGACATCTAAGTGAGATGTCAACTAAGTCCACATGGGAGAAGCATACCAACATCAGTGACTGAAATATTGTAAATCACATAACCCAAAGTCAAAGGAGGGCATAATATCAGGGCATAGATCATAGTCTGGTTTGCAGAAGGCTATGGACAACAGTGGGAGCCCAAGATATATCTGTGGGATCTACATGGGAATCTGATTCAGCCTCCAGGGACTTCCCTCTATCCATAGTAGGGGGAGTGGTGGGATGGTGGTAGGAAACCTGTTACCAAATAGAGTGCATGGAGTGATGACCATGGAAGACCAAAATGGCAATCCTGACTTAAATGGTTATAAAACCGTGTCCGTTGATCCCCTCTCCGAGGCACGTTAGACCTGACCTGGTTTTCAACATTTTCTGGATTTTTTTCATTTGATCATATCGGGTTTATCTCAGAGGTGTTATGTCATCAAGGGTCACCCTTTTGGATTTTTGTTATATGTTTTTCATGTATGAAACCCAGGATTGATGAACCTATAGGGACAACGAGTCGAATAAGGGTTTCTGGGGGGTAGAGTGGGGGTGGCGATGGGGCATAAAAGGGAGCTGATGTCAAGAGTTCTAGAAGGAAAAGGATGTTTTGAAACTGATTGTGGTGGCGGTTGTACAATATTTCTTGATGCGATTGAACTATGGAATGATATGATATATATGTTAACTCCCAGTAAAATGGGTTTTTTTTTTAAAAGAACAAATACATATGATACCTTACCTCCAGTCCCTGCTTACCAATCCAGGAATAATTTCCAAATATTTTTCAACATTGTCACCTAGCAAGTATTTTACTCTTCAGGTTCACTGTCTTCCTCTGGGCTACACTCTCATGACTTTACACTTTGATCAATGTTGTCCCCTTTACTTTGAAGAACCTTTTGTTCTTCTCTGTTAAACTTCTATTATTCACTCAAAACCCCAAACAACTGCTATATCCTCCATCCACTGTGTTCCCAGAATAATTAACCTATATATGTTTGACCACTTTTCATGATATACTTTATATTTTAATTGATAAATATATACTTCCTCATTTGATTGTGAGAGTCTCAAGGGCACTTTTTCATTCACACATATTCTCAACTTAAATCAGAGTGAGATTTATCAATATCAATTAGGCTGTATTTGTTTTTGTTTTAAATACTACTGCGCACCCTACATTCCTGAAACAGATGAGTCTAAGAATGAAATTTTTGTAAAAGCTTCTTAATTTCTGATCTCTACATTTGGCCTTATTTTAATGATACAAAACACACTTCATGATTCTTATGTCTGAGGTATGTGTGTGCGTAAGAGAGAGAGAGAAAGAGGGAGGGGGGGGGGAGATGCTTATTAATTTCCAGGAAAATAAATAGCATTTATCAAAGGACGATTAGCACTCCTTATTCTAATATGTGCATGCGTGCATCAAGAACTATTAGTATTCGTGTTACAGTGTATACATGCCTGGGTTTACGCCAAAAAAATGTGTTTAAATACGTCTCTGATCAGTGGATGGCTGAACAAAGCTTATACACTTGTCCCACTCTCTTTAGGGTCCTTTCCATACATATATACCTTTTGGTGCCATGTAAAATGATTTTTTATTTTGAGGTCGATATTAATATCATAATTTTAACAAAACTCAGTAGACATTTTCCCAAGTCACTGAAGCTTTGCAACAATTTGTAGATGGATCAAGTATTTTCAGCCTACAGAACAATTTCAAGGATGAGCCAAGAGAGACAAGATGATTGATTGATTAACCATGAAGAATGAAGTAACCGCGGCTCCAGAAAGCTGTGGGAGAAAGCCATCGAATTGCCATTGATGTGTTAGCTACTCAAGTTGGGATCTCAAAGGGGCAGCATTGTCGATTTTAAGTGAGCATCGCGGTTTCAGCAAATGTCCAGCTCTGCAGGTGCCGGAAGCATTGCACGACGATTAATTAGTTAAACGAACTGATATTTCTGTATGTTTTTTTTTTTTTTTTAAGCAAAGCTAGAGCGGGTAATTTTGTGGAATGAATCATAACTGGAGATGAGTCTTGGATTTACTAATCTGATCCAGAAAACAAGATCCAATCAATTTCAAGGGGATCTACCAGACCTGGGGTCTGCAAACTTTTAACAAGGAAGAGCCAATCCTGTCCCTCACAATTTTTTAAAAAATTTGAGAGCCACAAATATATTTTTGCAAACAAATGAAACCACTATTATCTGAATACTATTCTTCTAATTTTTTTTCAATTTTACTTCAGAGTCACAGGGGTCCGTTCAGAAGATTCAAAGGGCTAATCTTGATTGATCATTTGTGGAAGGATCCAGCACAATCATGGGAGCACCTGATGAAACAAGAAAACTGAAAACTGTGCTGTTGAGAAATCCCCCACCCTCCATGCGCCACCCCCCATCACTACAGCACACTTGCCCATTCTTCGAGGGTGTCAAGGGCTGTCCGCTGAGAAATTTCTTTGGGAAACTTTACCATATCCATCCTCCAACCCTAATATTAACCCTTCAGACTCCCTTGTGCACCACCGCCACACCCCCCACCCCACAGAATATTGAAAACGAGCACGATTTGAATCCCATGAGAATGCTGAGACTGATGCTTGGAGGTGATGTAAAGCAGAGGACAGAATTCTTCAGGGGAAGGTTAGAGAGAGGGAAATACTATCTCTCAGACGTACATAGAGGTAGGTGGAGGATATGTGGGGAAACAATAGCATCACCTTTTAATATTTTTGTGTTATAAAGATTTCTATGACTTTGTAGCAATACTTTCTGGCGTGCCCTTGCGTATGCACCTCAATGTGTCAAACGCGCATGCTTAAGCAGCCAGCAGAAGTCAGCTAATTTGACCAAATAACCTGCTACTATTCAAGACGATTAAGTTGAAGAAAAAAAAAAGACAGTTTATTGAGTGTAAGCTATTTGCCTTGAAATAATAATTTAATCATCATAGCCAAATAAAGACAGCTATAAATCCTTATTTTACAAATCAGGAAACTGGGACTTAAAAAGGAGAAGGCTTAAAAATGGCCCTAGGACATCAAGTTTGTGGCGGAGCCTGGAATGAACCCAACCAAGCCTGCCTAGTCTCAAACCCTGTACAGTTACAAGAGCATAGTACTTGGGAACCCATAGAGATTCTCTTCATCTTAAAAAACAAACACAAAACAAACCCCCTCACTGCCATCAAGTCCATTTCCATCGTGTGACCCTCACAGAAAGAGCAGGGCGACCCCTGAATGTTTACGAGGCTGTCAGTCTTTGGTGGGAGCAGAAAGCCTCCCCTTTCTGCTGCGCAGTGACTGGAGGGTGGGTGCTGTCTGCGGGTCTTTCTGTTAACAACGCGACGTATAACCCGCTGTGGCCTCAGGGCCCATTGTTTGCCTGATCTTAGAGAATGCCACAAACCAAGTTGGGCTGAGAGGTAGGGAGAAGGCAATTTGTCATGAATTCTATTAGGGTTCTGCTATATCACAAAGCATGTGCATTCCTTGAATATAAAGTGTAATTGAATAACAGTTTTGTGCCATTTGATAGTGATTTAAGAAAATGCACACAATGTCCAAACCAGAAATAGTTATTTAATCTCACAAATTAGCTCACAGGGTACTTGGAGAATGCTCCAATGAGAGGGAATGTGCAAACAATTTCATAAAGGAATGTAGTTCAACATGTTATAGTATCCTTTTTATATCCTCTACAACGCAGTTCCATTTACACAAATGGTATAAATATTTTAATAAAAGCTTTTAACTTATCAAAAGAACTGATTAATCTATACTTTTCTGCCTGTGTAAAATGAAATGTTTAAACCTAGCAATGATACATCACATCTTGCAATATTTCACTTTCATAATTGCTCTGTAATAACAAATCTGACTGCAGTTAACACAATCTCTTTTGCTGGTGACTTAATTAGATTACTAATTTGTGTTCTCTAGCACCTGACCTTCTTGTTTAACACTATTTAAAAATAGTATCACTGACTCAGCTTATCCAGCATTCTACCCTATTCTACCAATTTGGTGATAACACATTTGAAAATGGTACTAAATTCCTCTATTTTTCCACACCCAAGGGGACTGATACTTCTCATACGTGTTACCACACAGCTGGCAAAAGGTAGAGCTAGGACGTATCCCACACAGGGCATTTTCAGGGATAACTCTCTTACCACCACAGTAGTATTCTGACCATATTTCTGAAATTAAAAAAAAAAGTTTCTCTCCTTTTGATTCTAAAATGATTGTATTTTTGGCAA